GGGGAGCAAAGCAAGCTCCTGCATGCTGCACGACAGCTCCCATGTGTGTCGGTACCAGGAATCAGGGAGAAGCTGACCACCACTGCCCTCTCGACTGGGGAGGGGGGCTTTAATGTCCCAGGTGCTGGCGAGGGTGTCAGGCGAGCCGGAGCTCGAGGCCTGGTTGCGGTGATGGCCTGGATTCAACTATTTCAAAGGGCACCAGCCGGTCAAATTGAGTCCCAAATTTAAATTTGTTAAAATAACTTTTTGCAAAACATTAGGATGGAGAGCAATGTTTCCATGGTTTTGTTTTTAAATTCCGAGTGGGAAGAGTTTATTTTTTCACTAGGAAACTTTCCCCATAGGATTCACAACACTGGCTGGGAGACAGGAGCCAGCGAGCTCCGCTCCTGAATGGAGGTGACCCCAGGGGTGACCCTGTGCCGGTCACGTCGCCTCGCACAGCCTTACTTACCCTCTCGGCAACAGCAGCGTATGGCTGTGGAGGGCCTGGGATGCCAGCGCTGCTGCAGGGATGCTCAGCCCCGTGGCCACCATGCGGTTAGCCCCTGTTGGATCTAAATCTGGATGAGTAGTATGGTTATATTTGCATGGTTGAAGGTAAATGCAATGAAAACTCATACGTTGCAAGCAAGTTAGGGGAAAACCTGGGGAAATGACCCCCCGGTAGTTTTATTTCTCCTCGGCTCTGGCTATGCACAAGTGCCTTCTGTGGGGATAGCGATGGTCTGCTCTGCACCGGCGTGCTGCTCCTGCTAGATTGCTGCCCATTTGTAATGTACGAGTGAATGGCTGTTATCACTTGCTAGTCTTCTGTTGGTTTATACTGTCCCAAACCCCAAAATATTATAGAGATTTATAAAATTAACTGAAGGGGAAAAAAAAAAAAAGCCATGAGAGCTCATCTGGTTTCAATCAGCTCAGTGCCCAGCTGAGAGCCCAAGTGCTGCTGCTTCTACCCCCAGGTGACCAGGTAGTCCCAAGTGTTTAATGCAAAAACATGCAGCAGTGGAACAGGGGTCTGGTGAGCCCATGAGAGGAGGAAAGAAGTGGAAATCAGGGCAGGCTGGGCTCCAGTTACTAGAACCGGCTGAAAACGAAAAGCAAAAAAATGGCGCTTTGAAGTGCTTGCATCTTGCTCCCATCACTGGAGCAGAAGAAGAGCACAGTGGTTCATTAAGTACTTCGATCTGATCCCATTTTATTCTCTCCTCCTGTGTACTGCTTCACGGCTGCGGAGCCACGGATGGCAGGAAACTCCTCTTGCTTTGCCCCCTGAGAGGAGTGAGAATTTGGCCTTTTAGGATCTGGGATGTAATGAAAACTGATTGCTTGGACACGCAGATTTCTAAGGTGGTGGCTCAGCAGCTCAAGGGTTAATGGTGCTCCCTCACCTTCAGCCCAGACATTGATGTAAAGGCTTCTCTACAAGGGAAAGCTTGTTCTTATTAAGGTAGGTGCCGCAGATGAGGGTATAACAGCTCCTCCTGCTCCGCCTCTGTAGCCCCAGCTTTTCATACCTGGCCGGGGCAAGCAAAGAAGCAGCAGGCACAGCTATTACAGGACAACTCCCCTGCATGGAGAACACCTGCCCAGGCTTATAAAACATCCCCCCCATCCCTGGGATACCTGAATACCTTCACAAAGACTTCCCCCAAGGGAAGGGCCAAAGGTGCAGCGCTCCTGGTACACACCTCACCCAAGAAACATTACGCTTCTGGGGGCGAGGGGGGGGGTTAAGCTGCGCCTGAGCCAGCAAAGCACCCAAGCGCGGTTGGTGGAAATCACGGGCGGTGTGCCTTTTCTTTCAAAAGGACTATTAACGCGCTTATGGTTAATCACACGAATAAATCTCCTGGTGGCTTAGAGCCAAAGCGAGCAATAAAAGCACCGATCCCCAGGCCTCCCGATGGGAATTGGCCAGGGCCGGGGCCGATGTTCTCACCAAGTCGCTGGGAAGTAATCCGCGCCCTCGGCACGTACGCGCCCAAGGATCTTTGTTTGTATTACCCCCCCCGCCAAAAGGCTGTTATCTAGGTGGAACCATGAAACTATCTGCCCGTGCCAGCTGGGATGGCAAAATGGGCGTCCAGAGGACATGGGTGAAGAGTTGACCTGAGCTGCTTTTTCTCAGCAGTGGCTGCCGGAGCCCTGGAGGGTGGACGGAGGGGAGGGCGAGCCCCGGTCCTGTCCCTAGCTCTCCTTTCGGGGCTCGGGTGTGTCAAGAATTAGATATTTAAAGGAATACGCTTTCCAAGGATGGGAAAACCTTGGACCTCAAGCCCTGCCGACTGTAGAAGGGTATTTAGAGAGACGACTCGGTGTGCCTGGTGCAAGAAGGACCTGGGGGCGCGCAGGTTTTTCGTTGGCTTTTATTTTTTATGCACAAGACCAGGAAATCCATAGCAAGTATGTGTATGCCTGAGGGAGACAGGCAGGCTTGTTCTTGATGAAACATCCCAGGGAACTGAGCTATGGCTCCATCTCACGTCCCACGTTTCAGCTGGACACAGTGGGAGATGAGGGCACTCAGGGCAGGCTGTAAAGTTAATTTTAAGAGACCCCATAACGTGAATCAACATCGCCTGAAGCACCCTGCCTCTCTCTTTTTCCCAGAGTGGTCAGCGAAACGCAGGGTTTTCCCCAGCACTTTGGAGACTTGGTTGTCTTCTTACTCCTCTCCCCCGCTCCAAACCTCGCTGTCAGGAGGCCCGATGGGGGCAAGGGGAGCGTGTGCACCGAGTCCACCCTGCTGCCTCCCTCCCATTAAGCTTGCGGAAGGTTACTGGTGGCCCTTTGCAGCGAGCTCACCCGCACCCACCTGAATTTCCACGCATCTGCAGGGGCTCGATCAGCTCCTTGTGATTCATTTTAATCTGGCACAAAGCAGCAGCTTGCTGAAGCCTGATGTAAAACACCCACATACGCTCCCATTATATAATATGAATCTAAGAAGATTAAATTATCCGGTCTGAGGAAACACATGCACGTATGTATGTACACATTTATATACAGTCTGGGGGTTGGCTGAGTGGAGCTGAGGGCAAAGCTTCCCTTCAGAAACACTGAACTTGCATTTGTCAGCACTTTAACACTGGGGCAAATAACGTGTATATGCCCGTGCATAGACACGTATATGAAGCGCTGCGGCAGCTGTATGCTCTGCATTTGAAGGTGAGGCACGGTAATGCGAGAAGCGTTTGTAGTTGCGTGCTTGGTTATCCGCTTCACTGGCAAAGTGAGCAGCAGCATGGAGCAACAGGTAGAGCAAAAACAGCCCCTGTGCTAAACTTTACCTGCCAGCGTACGGCAAGATACTGCTCACTGGGCGTGCAAGCAGCGGGGAGAGCAGTCCCCAAAACCACCGAGCATCCCTCAGAAGCCTTGGAGGGCCTGTCCTGTCCCAAGAGCCCTGCCCTGTGGGCATCTGCCTTGGGGCACAGCCCGTTCCTTAGGATGAGCACCATCAGCGGATCCATGCACACAGTCAGGACTCCAGCTGGGTTTGGGGGCGCCCAGGCCTTTCACCCAAAGATGCATTTTGCCTTCCAGCAGTTTCGTGTTGGGAGGGGAAAGCAAGAAACGCGCTTCACCCGTAGCTGCCCACGGCGCTCGTGCCTCCCGGGCAGCAAACGGATTCGCCTCCTTCTCCTCCTGCGCCTTCCCGTTATTGATTCACGTTTTGCTAAATATAGCTCGGCCTGGTGAAGCTCCTCACTCTGCTGCTACTCCAGCTAGAGGTGCTGGGCACAGAAGGCGCTCAGAGGAGCGGGGACCGGAGGCCACTGCCACTTCCGAGGGCCAGGAGCCTGTCCCCGGCCTCCCCCCCGCCATCACCCCCACGAAGGGGGTTTCTTCTCCCGCAGATGAAACCCGGCCCCGGCCCGGGTGATGCTGGGTGCATCCTCGCTCCGGCCGGCCGGCAGCGGTCCTGGGGGCCGCCCCCCACCTCGGCCCGCACAGCCACCGTGAAAAATAATGAAGGGAAAGGGCCGGACCGGGCCGGGCCGGGCCCGGCACCGCCTC